TTTATGCAGTGGTTAAAGCACTTGTCTGCTAAGAGAAAGGTTGATGGTTCTAAGATACCATATGCTTTTATTATTATTCATTTTAATGAAAGTTCACAAAGACTTTGGATTTCCATTCGTTCATTGTTGTACTTTTCTCCCTGCCTACCACTCCCCCTGCCTCAATTCACTCTTCTCTTTGAAAAGTAAAAGAAAAATTCTTTCACTGTTATACAATCTCTCCCCCTAAGTCCACTCCACTGTGAAGCCTTCATTATGGACTCTGGTCATGACAATAATACCTAATATATATCCCTTTACATACTTTGGACATGTTGTGAAGAGAGACCGGTCCTTGGAGAGGGACATCATGCTTGGGAGGGTGGAGGGACAGCGCAGGAGAGGAAGGCCCTCTATGAGGTGGACTGATTCAGTGACTGGGATAATCGGGATGGGAGTGTCAGAGACAGTGCGATTGGCACAGGACAGAGAAGAGTTTAGAGCTGTTGTACATAGGGTCACTATGAGTCACAAGCGACTCGACGGCACATAACAACAACAACAAAATATCCCTTTAAAATAGTTCTCTTCCTCATTTGTTTCAATGCAGTATACATCATTTATCCCCTCTTTCTCAGTCTTCCTCCAACCCTGATGTCAGTCCCATTTTACAAGAGGATACTATATATTTTATGAGAAAAATGAGGCATTTTGCTTTCTTAAAGACCAATAACAGGCTCAGAACCCCCACGACACACTCTGCTCTACACCATACAAAATCTGTAAGTCAAAATCAATCAACTGGACAGCAATGAGTTTGTGGATTTCCAAATGTTAGGTATTAGAAACAGTTTTACAATGAGCATCTGTACCTTCTCAATGCTGCTGTGATCTTCCTTTTAGAGAAAAAGTAACTAAAGCAGAGAAGAGTTGTATTCTTGGTCTTTATGAAGTAGTGAGATGAGCGGATACACCCAAGTCTGTCTGTTTCCTTTCCAGTGCCCAATGCTGAAGACAATTGATGATTCAGAATTACGGAGTTTCGGGATAGAATGGTCAAAGACCTTGGGTCACCAGTTCTCTTTTTTCACCACATTCATTTGCTTCACGAATACCTTCATCATAGATGAAATAAAGAGTGTCATGCTTAGGCAACCCACTCAGTGGTCAGATTCTGTGTATGCATGTGTTCCCTTATTCTAGTTTGTTTGTTTGGTGGGGTTTTTTTTTTCTTTTTAAGATGTGTTCCTATAATGAAGTATCATTTTATGTGAATAAATAAAGTCACATTGATAGAGTAAATGTCATTATTTTATCAATATTCTAGTTTTAATAAATTCTTTTAAACTGACTTGTCCTTAGTCTTTGTTCTGTAAAGTGATGATCACAGTACAAGCTTAGAAGATAAAAACATCTGATGCAACATTGTTTAGAACAGCTAATAATTTTAAATTCATTGCCTTCAAAGTCAAGTTGATTGAGTCCATGAACATAGTCTAGTCATGTTGGTCTTCTTCTAGTCTTTAAATAATGGCATGTTATACTTTGGACATGTTGCAAGCCAGGACCAGTACTTGAAGAGGGAGAGTGCAGGAGAGGAAGACCCTCGATGAGATGGATGGATTCAGTAGTAGCTGGGGTAATGGGGGTGGATGTGTTGGAGACAGTGAGACGGGCACAGGATAGAGCAGGGTTTAGGGCTGTTGTACATAGTGTCACTATGAGTCACAGGTGACTCAACAGCACATAACAGCAACAGCAAGGTAGCTTTTTACTTTGTCGGCATTATTATTTTGTTTTTGTGTACCATAGAGTTGGAACCAACTCATAGTTGACCCTTCGGTGGGTTTCCAGAGACAGTTAGTTACTCGCTGGGGAGGAGACGGCCCATCCTTCTTCCTATTGCTTGTTTTCTATTTAATTAACTTGCATTCTCTTGTTTCTTTCCCTTTCTTTATAATCTCCTCTCGCTACAGACTTCCTTCTAAATCATATTACTATACTCTTTTGTGTTCCTCCTTACCAACATTTCTCTCAGCTCCTGTTTCTATTTTCCCATCTTCGATGTATATAAAATTTGCTATGTTGTTGTTGTTAGGTGCCGTTGAGTCGTAGACAACTCATAGCGACCCTATGAACGAAAGGCCCGAGCACTGTTCGTACATAGAGTTTCCAGAGGCAAGCCATTTCAGAAGTAGATGCCGCTCCTGCTTCCAGGCTTGATTTAGTCGGGAAGCTCCAGCCAGCACTGTCCAGCATGGGTACCCATTACCACGATTGGCACATCACTGTCACAGTGTTCAGCATCACAGCAACTACGAGTTACCTCTGTACAGCAACGCACAGACCAGTGCTATACCACCTAGCAGAATGTTTGACAGGAAAACAATTTGAACCCGGCCTAAGGGCCGCAGATTAAAATCACCCACCTTCCGCTTGGTAGCATAACTTTTTGTCCACCAGGCCAGCGTGGCTCTCTCCCCCCTCTTTTTCTTTTACTATTTTATAAGATGCACACTATACATGTGCTTGATTTTATTGCTATTTGATGATGACAATTTTTTTCATTCATAGCTGACATCTCAGCAACCAATAGTAGCTATTAGATGTTACGCCTGCTATCTGTCTGGATTCAGTCTCATTCATCACTTTGCAATGCTGAGGTATGTAGTTCTTGTCTGTTGTTGTTGGTGGTGGTGGTGTTTTCTTTAATTGTTTTACTTACCCCTTTTCCAGACTATGTTCCATTAAATACTTTCCTGGTTATTTGTCCCATTATTTAGCACCCTTGCTTGAATATTTCTTTTTTATCTTTCATGAACATATGTTGCAAAATAGTTCATGTTCCCCACATGTACACACATTCATACATCAATAATTATAATTCTTCATCCTCTTAGTCTGCTTTCTTATTTTAATCATATATTAAATATTTTATAGAAAAAAACATTTATGAAACCATAATATATTATAAAGCACAAACCACAAAAATAACCCTGTATCAGCAACCTAGTTTAAGCAGAAAGAGAAATATTATTATTGATTTTGATTCTCCTGGGAACATATACTTATGTTCAAGGGACAGGAATGTACAAAAAAATTATTAAAAGAAAAATTTATATATCTAAAAAATTTCGTTATTATTTCAAACTTGAAAATTTGAGGTCTATAAAGAGTATGATATACAGAGATAATATATTGCAGAATGTGAAAAACAAATCTAATTTGTCAATTACAAGTGTTATTTTAATGTTATGTTAATTATACTGTTAACAACTGACATGGAATTAAAATCTAGCAGAAGCAGAGAGAATCTATAAATCAACTCAAAAGCAACCTTGGCCAAATAAATGAAACGGAAGTGTACAAAAACACACAAATCATAACTGGAGGAAGAATATTAGACAATAATCATATTCATTAGTAAGTGGCGAAAACAAATTTAAAAGTTACGTATCCCTTTACATGTATTTTCTGACCAAATTTTAAAATAACGACAATGCTCACTAAGGTGTGTGGATATGGGGAACTTGCGTGCACCTCTTTGTAGTATACACTGGTGCACCCATTTGGTAAAACAATGCAGGAACACTTGGTCCCATTAAACGTAGTGGCAAGGAGCTGCAACTACAATCCCAGAGGTGCACGTTTCGAATCCACCAGATGCTCTGCCGGGGAAGGAGGGACAATCTCCTCCTGTACCAGTCAGATCTGATTTGACGGTACACTCACATAAAAATAATAAAATAAAATAAAATAAAAATAAAACGTATGCATGCTTGTAGATTCAATAATTTTGCTTCTAGAAATATACCCATGCAAAAACTCTATATAGAGTACATACAGTTATTTATAGTTAAACATTTTTTAGACACTCTGATATCAAATCACAAAGAAAGCAAATAGGTAAATTATGGTGGATGGAAACCACAGAGCATTGTACCCCAAACAGTGGTACAAAGGGAGCTCTGGTAGCTTGGTGGTAAGAAGCTGTGCTGCAATACTGAAGGCACACAGTTCAAATCCACCAGATGCTCTGCTGGAAAAGGAGGGGCATTCTCCTCCTGTGCCAGTTGGATCTAGTACAATGCTACACAACAAGGGGGGGGGGGACCCACCACAGTGGTACATGAAGAAGTACATGCACATGGATTCATGGATGCTCTATTACCATAGTATGATGAGATAAGATAGAAGATGAGATAGAATATTTACATTTTTTACATAATTTTTGATAATGTTGACTGAGGCCTTGTATGGCCTTTTATCAGTGTTGGTTCACAAGAGAGTGTAAATTTTAAAAGAAACAGAGATGTTCACCACAGATAGTTGAAGAAATACTTATGCAGAGAACTGTTCATGCTCTAGAGTTGAAGAGTTAGCAAGGAGAAGAAAAATCTATGATGGACATAATGATTTAAACGAAAGAATGAACCTGAGTCAATATTTTCAGACCTAACTTAAATTTAAGAATATTTTCATCCAAATATTTATTCCATTTAAGGAAATTAAAGTTTGTTTAATCATATTAGTTGATGTATTAATGAACTGCCCATTTGATTTTCACTTAAGACAATGACAAGGTCAAGACAATTTTCCCAAATTGGACATGAAGGTTTCTAAATCTACAGCAAAAGTTCAACCACCTCCAACTGTGTCTTAAAAGTCACCTCAGATTGTTGCTGGTGGGTGTCATCAAGTCAACTATGAGTCATAGCAACCCTATGCCCTTTGTGGTCTCTGATATGTTTGAGCTCATTGTTATTATGGTCACAGTGTCAGCCCATCTGGTTGAGAGTCTTCCTTTCTTTCTCTGACCCTCCACCTTTCAAAGCATGAAGCCTTATTCCAAGGACAGGGCCCTCCTGACAATACGCCCTTAACAAGCATTCTCTCATTTCTCTATGAAATCAAATATTGTTCCATTTCCAAGTCTGGAATTATTTAAAATGTTATCATGATCTTAACTTCCCTTGTTCTTTCTTTGCAACTTTTCAGCTGATACTTAAACGTTGTCAATGATGGAACTAGCAAATGGCACTGAAGTGACTGAATTCATCCTCTTGGGATTTGCTGCTCAACACAAATTTTGGCATATCCTCTTCATCGTCTTTCTAATGATCTATATGACTACCTTAGTGGGTAATATTGGGATAATCCTACTCATCAAGATTGATTCTGGCCTTCACACACCTATGTATTTCTTCCTCCAACACTTGGCTTTCATTGATCTCTGTTATACCTCTGCTATCACTCCCAAAATGTTGCAAAATTTCATAAGAACAGAAAAATCAATCTCCTTCATAGGATGTTTTTTACAATTATTAGTCTATGGGACTTTTGCAACCAGTGACTGCTACATCCTGGCAGCTATGGCAGTGGACCGCTATGTGGCCATCTGTCACCCACTCCGTTACCCAGTAGTCATGTCCCGAAGAGTCTGTATTCAACTTGTACTTGGATCATACTTCATGGGTTTCTTAAATGGCTCTGTAAACACGAGCTTTACCTTCTCATCCAATTTTTGCAAGTCCAATGCAATCAACCATTTCTTCTGTGATGAACCCCCAATTCTTGCCCTTGCATGCTCCAGTATTGATTTCAATATCATGCTCCTAGCAATCTTTGTGGGGTTTAACTTGATGTTCACTGTCCTGGTTGTTATCTGTTCTTACATATATATCTTAGCTGCCATTCTAAAGACATCGTCAACATCTGGAAGGAAGAAGGCCTTCTCCACATGCGTCTCCCACCTGACGGCAGTCACTATATTCTACGGAACTCTCTCTTATATGTACCTACACCGTGGCACCAAAGACACTCAAGAACAAGAAAAAGCAGCGTCTATATTTTATGGCATTATCATCCCCATGATAAACCCCTTGATCTACAGTTTGAGAAACCAAGATGTAAGAGAAGCTCTAAAAGGGATCAGAAAGAAGTGTTTCTAGTTCCATCTTCAGTTTCTAACTCTCCACACAAACAATCAGCCTGACAGTGCTTTCTTATTTTTCTGTATCAGGATATGCTCCAAATGTTTGCGAGACACAGAAGTGTTTCTTTGCACTGCAATCCCAGAAGTGCACGGTTCAAATCCATCAGATTGTCTCCTGGAGGAGGGGCAATCTCCTCCTGTACCAGTCAGATCCATTTTGACGGCACACACACACACACACACACAAATAAAATTTTAAAAAAGATCAAAAAAGTGTTTCTTAATTATACTAATACTGCATGAAATATTAGAAAATGTCTAATATTCAAATGTTTCTTTTATACGCGCTGGTGACTATTCAAAACCTTGCCAACAAAAAAAGCAAAGAGGAAGGTAGAATTAATCTTGTGTAAGTACCCCCGTTAGCAAGAATATAGACTCACAAAATCAAAAATCGTGTCTAAGTTTCTCTCAATCGATACTGCTACTCTTGCTAGTTCACTGGCGTTGAGTTTTTTAAATTTATTATTATTATTACTATAAAGAAGACTTGAATAAGTAGAGAAAAGTCATAATTGGTGATAGCTGAGATGGAGATCAATGAGGGGGTACAGCAGGGATAGCCAATAGTGAGCTGTGATAATCCCAAAGCCATGTGTGTCTGGAGGGTCAAACCCACCAGGGGCTTATTGTAAACAAATGTCCTCCTGTTACTACTTGTAACAGCCTTGAAAAACCAATGGAGGGTCACAGTGAGTAGGAAAAGACTCCACCATGACAGAAACTTTAAGTTTCATGAGAAAGTTTTATTTGAGGTTTATTTGAAAGACCAATATCCTTTCTTTACTCCTATGATCCCTAACCAATAAGGAAATCGCATTGACGGATACAACCAAATTTGCAATTATTCCTCCCTCACAAATGAACACGTAAAAAAAGGAAAGTCCAATGCAGAATTTGATGCCACAGAGAATTGCTTTCCCCAACTTTTTCTTGAAGTTCAAGAACATTGCACTACAAAGCCAGTCACAGGGCAATGATGTTCATGAGAAAGTGCATGGACTCTGCTCCTAGAATACAACACAATGCAAGTGTTTGGAACGGGAACTCAACCTTATTGCTCAGCTCAGAGCTGACCCTTCCCATGGGTTTCTGAGGCTGCAAATTAAGAGACGAGTTTGTCCATTTTTCTCTCTCCAGAAAGTCTGGTAGACTCAAGCTGTCAGAGAGGTGCAACTTGGATTGGCAGTGCACCTCCACATAGACTATGACACCAGAGCAGAACCACAACATTAGGGAACTTTCTATCAAAATAGTGAGGCTGGTGACTTTTCCAGCTTGTTTTTAAAAATTTATTTTATTCATTTAAATGAACATTTACAGAGATCTTGGATTTCCATTCATTCATTGTTGCACTTTTCTCCCTGCCCAGCCCTCCCTGCCCCTCCCTGCCCCCCCAGCTTGTGTCTCTCTTTGAAAAGTCAAAGAAAAATTCTTTCTTTGGAGGCAAAGACTTTAACTTCTGAGTGGAATGGAACAACTGTTCTCCAGAAAGAAGGGGAGAAGTCTTTCTCTTTACTACCTTGAACTGTCTAGAAAGAGACATGTTCCTGAGTTTTACTTGCCTGTTATGAATATTTATATACATTCTTAAATTGGCTTTAAGTATCTATGTTCTGAGAAACTTTATTGTGCAGAAATATTACATATTGGTGGGCCATCTGTGTCATAAAAAAATAAAGTTTTAATATTCATACAGAAAAAAGAAACAAGAAATAGATGGACAAAATAAATACAATAGTAATTTTAAATATTCATTTACCTTTTCCAATCAAGACAAATCAAGCTGATCAAAAAGTAGTTAAGTAATAGAATATGCATTTGGTATGTTAATAGCATTCATGAATACAAACCAAACTCACTGTTTGCTCCAAGTTATAGGGAAATTCATAAATGCAAATTCTGCATTATTAAAGCCCAACAAATATATATACAAAATATAGGTTTATTTTTCTATGTACATCCCAGGATAACCATCCTCCAGAAAAGAAATAGACAAGAAATCAACAATAATTCAAAGGAAGGAGTTGTTAGTCTTTTTACAGCCACTTTATGGGTAGTCCACTTAGAAACCTTGGTCCCGTTTTCCTTTTCTGAGATCATGGACGTTGTAATAGAAACATCAGAATTATTCCAGGCAGGACTAAGGAATAGCCAAGGAATAGGCCCTTCTAGCAATATACCCAAAGTATGTGAGGCTAATTCTGGCCTCCAAAGAGCACTCTGGCTGCACCCTTTCCACAACATCTGTTTGTTCTCTTGACCATCCATGAGATGTTCAGTGCTTTTCTCCAACACCACAGCTCAAAGGCGTCAATTCTTTTTCTGTCATCCTTATTCCCTGTCCAGCTCACAGATGCATAGCAAGTAATCGAAAAGACCATGTCCTGAATCAAACTCACCTTAACCCTCAAACTGACATCATTACTCCTCAATAATTTTGAGAGGTCTCTAGCTGCAGATTTCCCCAGACAGTTTATATTATCAAAAGGTAAAGAAATATCTGCTACTAAAGGGAATCTAATGAAACAACTAAGGAACACTACTATTCAGTACAATATTATAATGAGTATCTTATTTCCATACAGATAAGCTATCATGTGAAGGAGGGAAGAATAAATCTATCAATGTCTGTAAATCTAAGGCTCATGTTTCTAAGAGCAGCTTGTCATGGGTTATCTTTGCAAGGAATGAAAATCATGGAAATAGGACATTGGGGGGTTGCCATATAATGCTTGTCTTTTTTCAATTTAATTTTTTTTTTTAATGGAGGGAGAAACAAATAGAGGAAAGCAGGAGGGAAGGGCGAAAGGCAGTTGTTGGATTTAAAAACTCTCAAAAATGGAAGCAAGACATCCACAAGGCAACAATGTCAGAATAAAACTTGTCTACTCCTGGTGGACCTTGCCCAGCGTTACACTGTCTTTTCACCTTCATCCTTCCCATTTCCTTTACCTCTTCCCTCCACCCACCAAACTCTACAACCCCGTGGGCATTGCAAAGTGGACTGGGAGAGGGAGAAGGAAGGGGGGGATGTGTAACAATGAATGAAAACCCAATCTTCCTGTAAACTTTTGTTAAGATTGAAAAAATTAAAAAGATCCTACGCAGTAAGAGATGTTAGAGAGGATGTGGAGAGATAGAAACTCTTATACATTGTTGGTGGAATTATAAAATGGTATACTCAGTCTGGAAAACAGTTTGACATTTCCCCAAAAGGCTAAACAGAGAAATTTCATATGATCCAGCTATTTCACTGCTTAGAATATGCCCTGAGAAAATGAGAACTGAGTCACAAACACCAATGTTCGTAGTGGCATTATTCACCATCGCAAGAACATGGAAACAACCCAAACATCCAACCACAATGGAATGAATTGAAAAATTATGGTACATTGACATGATGAAATACTATGCAGCACGCAAGAGAAATGATTTTGTAAATTATTACCTAATTTGGGAGGTGCTTGAGAGAATTATGCTAAGTGAACTAATTCAGTCCTATAAGGACAAATATTGTATAAAACCATTATTTTAGAACAAGTATATAAGGATCCAAGGCGGGGAGGGAGCAAAAGGCTGAGGGGGTGGAGGGGGTGAAAACAACAATGTATACAAACTTTATAAATGAAGCAATATAAACTTTTAAAAATCTACACTTTTAAGAAAAACTCCATTTCATCCAGATTTTAATTTTTGTGTCATTTATTTTTCATTCATTTCTTGGTCTTCCTCAGGAGATTTTCGTTCAATTAATCTTTTAAAAAAAATTTCACAAGTTGGGAAAATATTTGGAAGTGATAAAAAAAATAAAGTTCTCAAAGTTAAAAACAATAATTTGCTATCAAAAAGATAAAAAAAAAGAATACTAAGCTGCATTGAAAAACAAAATAAATAATTTGCTATCATTATTTTTTTAAAAAATAAAGGATATATTATTGGTGCGATCACCTTGACTACTCCAAAATGCTTAACTTTCTTCAGCAAATACATAATAAATTAATGGGTTTTTTCTTCCAATTCCATCTCAGTCCCAGGAACTGAAGATTCTCAAGGAAGCACTGATCCCTTAGGGGCCAACTTTAAACTCTCTAATCAGGAGAAACATAAAGAGAGAGACTGAAAGGCAATCGGCCTTCATCAACTACAGAGAGAAAATCTCCTTTATCAAAATCAACCACACGCCATTAAAGCTTGTACAAGGAGAGCAGAGCAAAAGAGACACTGTCAAGTTCCAGCATGTTTTACACCAAGACCTAGAGGCTTCATTTCATTAACAGTAACAGAAAGTAAATGGAGTAAGAAAACTGAGCTGGCTTGGCTGAGAAAAGATGTGAATGAACAAGTTTAATCACTGAGTGAATGAATCTATCAACCAATATTATGTGACTAGGATGTATTGTTTGTTCTGTGTATTATTGTGGCGATTTATGTCATATCCATTTGATGCATGGCTCTGTGCTGGGAAGTTTTTATTTCTCTGCTCACATGAACCTCATAACTATGAAGCAGGCTTTATTTTTTCCCTTCCCTTCTCCATTCTTTAAAATGCCTTCTTTTTAAAGACATGTATATTCACAGGAAGCTCCAAGGACAGAAGGGAGAAACCTCTGCCCAGTTTCCTCCATAAAGATTATCTCGTACATAATTATACTAGAACATTAAAGACTAGGAATTTGATACAGGGGTAGTGTGTATTTATAGTTCTCTGGAATGTTGTCACAAGTGTAGATTTGTGTAATTTCACCACATTCAAGATGTAGAATGTCCCAGCATCATAAAGGTCCCCTTGGCTAAACCCCACAGCATCACCCTCACCCTTCTCCCTAAGCTCTGGAATCTACCAATCTCTTCTCCATCACTGTACCTGTTATTCTTGCCAAAATTATGTAAACACAATCATACCGCATGTGACAAGTTGAGACTGGCCTTTTCTTTCACTCATCAAAGTTCTTG